CCAACCGAGAAAGAGATGTCGGGTCTCGTGTGAACTGCTGCATACAAGAGGCTGCCCACCAAGGACTGAAATTGCTGCTGCTCCTCGGCTTCAACTCCTTCATCCTCTGCAGCTTTCACAAGCTTGAATTCTGCTGGCAGGGGAGTTGCAACCTTGCGCTCATTCTCAATTCCATACTTCTCCCCAAGCTCCTTGATGAACTTCTCCTGGTGCAGCTTCAACCACCTGTGATCCAGATCCCTCTCCACGTGCATCCCGAGGTAGTACTTTACCTCCCCAAGGTTCTTGCACTTGAAGTTCTCCATCAGCTGCTGCTGCACCTTCTGGACCTCCTTCATGCTGCTGCTAAAGAGAAGAATGTCGTCCACATAGACCAGAAACAGCACCAGCTTCTCCCCCTCCCCCTTGAGAAAGAGGCTCTCATCACAGCTGCTGGTCCTGAATCCCATCTCCTCTAAAACAGCTGCCAACTTCTGGTACCAGCAGCGTGGCGCCTGCTTCAAGCCATAGATGGACTTTTTCAGCTTGCACACCCTGCCCGTACCATCCTCATACCCAGGTGGCTGCGTCATGAACACCTCCTCCTCTAAAATCCCGTTGAGAAATGCCGTTGATATGTCCATCTGGATAATGAACTTCCCACTAACGGCTGCATCTGCCAACAAGACACGAAGGGTAGGGGGTTTGGCAGTGGGAGCAAAGATCTCATTGAAGTCCCGCTTCTCCTTCTGCATAAACCCCTTAGCCACCAACCTACTCTTGTAGATGGTGACCTGCCCCTTGTCGTCAGTCTTGATCCTTAGCACCCACTTGCATTGTACCGCTTTCTTTCCCTCAGGCAGCACCACTAGTTCCCAAGTCCCATTCTCCAGCAGGCTCTGGTACTCAGCATCCCTGGAAGCTAGCCATTTGTCCCTATCTGGTCCAGCTAATGCCTCCTCCATGCTAGCTGGTTCCTCTGGTGCAGGGGCAAGAAAACAGTACGCAGGTTCATCCTCCTCATCCGGGTCATAGCCATGCGGTAGAATCAGCAATGCCTCCTCGGTCCCAAGCTGCTGCTCCGCTACATCAGCTCCTGCAGTCAGCTTCTTAGTAGCCATACGGGTACGTCCTGGCCTGGAGACGGGTGTCTCCCATCCCTTCATAATAACACCCTTCGGCTTCTTAGTTTTCCCCTGCTGCTGCTCTCCTCCCTCAGATCCAGCAGCTCCACTAGTGCTACCGCTAATCTCCACACCATCACCTCCACCAGCAGGTGCCTCCTGCACCTTCTCTTTATCACCACCCTCTGCAGCTGCCTCCTCTCCCTCCTCCCACACACTAGGAGTCAGGTCCAGCTGCATGGTAATCTGCTCCATCTGCTGGGACACCCTGGCCTCCGGCTGTTTCTCCCAGCTCCCATACATCATGCCCTCAACAAACTTCACATCCCTGCTGTCAAATAACACACCCTTGGAGGGTTCCCACAGCAGCCATCCCTTGCTCTCAGCAGCCAGCCCCAAATGCACACACCAGATTGCACTCGCCCCCAACTTACTGCGGTAGGTCTTGGGGACGTGGGCGACTGCCATGCAACCGAACACCCTCAGCATGTCCACCGGCGGCTTCCTCCCAAGCCACCTCTCCAACGGCACCCACGAGTCATCCCCAACCTTTGTGAGTACCCTGTTCCTAGCGACGGTAGCGTGCCGAACAGCATGGGGCCACATGGAGTTGCCCAGCCCAGATTCTATGAGCAGCGCCCTAGCTGTCTCCAGAATTGTCCGGTTCGCCCGTTCTGCTACACCGTTAGACTGTGGGGTGTAAGCCGTGGTCAGCTCCCTCTGGATGCCCTGCTTCTTGAGCCAGGCCGTCATCTCAGCTCCAAGGAACTCACCACCCCGATCTGTCCTAATCCGCTTCACCACACACTCCGCTTGCTTCTCCACGAATGGCAGCCAATCTTCCCGTATCGTAGAGGCGGCATGGTCCTTCTGCTTCAGCGGATATGCCCACATAAGCCTGCTCCAATCATCCACAATGGTCAGGAAGTACCGCTCCCCCTTGTGTCCCTGAACCGGCAGCGGCCCCACCAAGTCCATGTGGACCAGCTCCAACGGCTTCTTGCTCCTGCCAGCCACACTATGGAAGGGGAAACGGGTAAACTTTGAGAGCAAACAGATTTCACAGTTATCATCGGGTGGTTGTCCGTTCAGCTTCAAGCCCTTAACGGCTCCATCCTTCTCCAGCTGCTTCAGCAAAGGCATTGCCACATGCCCCAAGCGTCGGTGTGCCGTTGCCCAATCCGTCTCCCCAGATCTGGCCGACACTTTCACACCAACCCCTCCAACGGCGTTGCACTCCCCCTGGGATGCAGACCCCTCTCCAGCCTGCCCCTCACCATGCCACGCCAGCACCGGCAGCTGCCACATGGATCTGTACACGTCCTTGCTCTCGTGCAGATCCCAAAGCACCCGATTGCCCAGCTTCCCCTTATAAGTGCGAGCCCCATCCGTGTTGGTGTTCACCCCAGCCTTGCCAAGCTTACGGAGGGAGATGAGGTTGGCCTTCAGGTCGGGGACGAGGAGAACGTCGTGCAGCACCACCGGCTTGCCATCCGCTCCCTTAAATGCAGCTCGTCCCGCACCAGCCACCTTCAACATGTGTCCAGAGGCAGAGCACACCTCATTAATCGGTGCAGCGCGTACGTCGTCCAGCAGGTCCTTGCGCGGCGTCATTGTCCAAGCAGCGCCTGTGTCCAACACCCAATAGTCCAGGGGGTGCAGCTCTGCTCCAGCCTTAGCAGAGGCGTCTCCTTGCTCCCCCTTGTCTCCCATATGGAAGAATTGGCCCGCGGTGCGCTCCTTCTTCTTCTCCGCACCGCCGTTGCCCTTTGGGTTGTTGTCGGACGAATCAGCGATCATGTTGGCACCGTTTTTCTGGTTCCTCCGCGCGCCGCCATCCTGGTGACGATTCTGGGGGGTCCATCCATCGGGTTTCTTATAGCACAAAAACCAGGGGTGCCCTTCCTTCTCACAATACCAGCAACTCCCTTTCATTTTGCCACCAGCACCCGACTTGCCCCCACGTCCAGATTTTGCACCGCGACCCCAACCGGTACCTCCTTGTTGGTCGTTGGAGTCGTCGTCTTTCTTTGCACCGCGTCCAGCACCACCGAAGCCACGTCCTTTGCCACGTCGGCTCCCTTGCATCCCGTAGCCGCTGCTGCCGTCGTCTCCACCCCTCAGTTGGCGGCGACGGAAGTCCTCCTCCAGAATCTTCGTCCGCACCCACTCGAGCGTCCACAAGCTCTGGTTCTGCGGCAGGCTCAATCCGCTCGTAAATTGAAGCCACGATTCCGGCAGCAGCGAGAGCATCTTCAAGCACTTTGTTTGCTCCGGGTAGGTGATTCCCGCGGTCGCCAACTTCGCGTAGAGGTCGCGCAATTTGTCCAGGACAGGTTGCACCGGCTCTCCCTCGCTCAGGCGCAACGCGGACAGCTCCCTCTCCAGCATCAATGTTGCAACAACGGAGGTCGGGGCGTGCAGCTCCTTCAACACCGTCCACGCCTTCGGACCACACTCAGCCTCCGGCAGCAGGTGCATGACGTGGTGACGCTGGTTCAGCTCCAAACTCTGCGACATCAAGTAGTAGCCAGCCGAGGCGCGCTCGTCCCAATCTTCCTGAAGGGCGGGGTCACTCGGTCTAGGCTCCTCCCCAATCATTAGTTTCAGCAATCCGATTTGACGGAAATAAAGTTGCATTTTCCAGGCCCAATCATCATAGCCCTCACCATTGAACTTCTCGACGGTGAAGTTTTTCAGCACCTCCTTGATCAGCGAGCCCTGGCTTGTTCGCGCTCCCCTTGGCGCAGAAACACCAGAATCATGGCTGCCGCTACGATCTTGGGCTGAAGATTCACCAGCTACCGCCGAGGTGTTGCCCGCCATAGCTACCTATATCGAGGATCACTATAACGCAGCTCTGATACCAGCTTGTTGGTGTAAGGGCCTAATAAACTCAAGCTATTAAGACTTTATCACACTTAAAACCTCTCCTCGGGGTCACCTCCAAGGGTCCTTGGGTGCCTGGTACAAGACCAGCCCCTATCCTCGGGTCCGAGTTTGTAGAGAGAGGGATCAAGAGGGACTTAGTCAAAACAGCAAGAGTACCTTGAACGTCGCGCAGCGTATCGTGCAGACCGTCGATCGGATTAAGCTGAGAATTTTCTATATCGAAGCTCACTCTAAGAGCTTTAAAATAAGCCAAGTTGCCTCGCGAAAAGTTCTGCCATTACGAAGTTATGGCTCGGACAGCGTTAGCCTAGCGTTGGAGTGCTAGCGTACTAGCGTTGACTCGGGTAGCATTCCGCCGTCGCATCGCGTAGAAAACGAAATTCCAGCAAGGAAGGAATTCGCTTGAATCAATTTCACTATATTCAGGTACAAACAGAGAAGGAATAAATAGCTCTAGCTAGCAAGGACCTTGGGAATCAACCTGGGAACAACCAGGGATGATCCCAAATAATTCCAAGCAACAGAACCAACCTGGCTGAACAAAATAGCAGGTGATAGGTTGGTGAACAACCTCTGGTTCTGTTTTTCCAACCTGGGAAAACAACAACCAGGTTCAGGTCCTAAAAACAGAACCTGTTTTGTCTTTGCCCAACCAGCCAAATGCTGGTTCCGCTGGTTTCCCCTGGCCCTGTAGCATGCAGATACAGACAAACAACATCCAACCTTCACCTAAATTGTACCCCTATAGTGCCTGCCCTGCTACACTATAGTCAACCAAACAAAACAGTACAATTTCGAGTTGGATAGAACTGAATCTGCGCAATCAAGTAAGCCGAACCGCAAAGCTTCCATCTTGGGTTCCTTTGCGAGCTCGTCCTTTCTGCTTGTACTGTTCATAGCGCGTACAATGTTATGCCGAAGCGCACATTTTGCGAGTACCTGCAAATGCTTCAAGCGAAAAATTGCGAAAGCAAACAAACACACAAACATACCATTCACACGCAAATGCATTCGCACACGCATACTCGTACAAACAGACGGCAGGATGTCGTGCAATGTGAATTTGCACCCAACAGTTCCCCCGTTCCCCTTCTGCCCTCTGTTGCTTCTGCTGCTGCTGTCGACCTCCTTGGCATCGAGGAGGTCAGGGCTGCGTCTGCTCCTAGTGGGAGGCGCCGCAGCAGCAAGGGCAAGGGGGGCAAGGGTGGTGGAGGGGACGGGGGGGGCAGCGGTGGTGGCGGTGAAGGAGGCGGAGGGGGTGGGGGTGGAGGCAAGGGTGGTGGCGGGAGTGGGGGCGTTGGTGGCGGCGGTGGAGGTGGAGGCAGCGGCAGCGGTGGTGGAGGCAGCGGCAGCGGTGGAGGCAGTAGCGGCGGCGGTGGTGCTGGTCGGGTTGGAGCTGCGCTGCGTGGAGGCTTTGGCGGCAGCCAGCGCCAGCAACAGCCGCGTTCCCGCGAGACCCCGTCGCCCCAGCAGCTTCGTGTGTGGTACGCTGGGCGTGGGAGGTCTGGGGGAGCTGGTCCCTGCACTTACGTTCTCCACACCGGGGGGGAGACGTGCGGAGGGCCACACACGTCGCAGCGCTGTTTCGGTCGCGACGCCTGGCGCGCACAGTTTCCTCACGCTGCTGAGCTCCCTAGCTGGGCTGATATGTTTAGGCAGAATGTTGATATCTTTGCTCTATGCTATCCTTGCTGCCATGTATGCTGTGACTAATAGTGCTGAGGGTGACTGTTACCTGTGTGAGCCACCCGACCCAGATATAGAGTCTACTGCTCTAGGTGGTGGTGAGGCTGTTGCTCTAGGTGCTGGTGAGGCTGCTTCTCTAGGTGCTAGTGAGTCCGCTGCTCCATGTGCTGGTGAGTCTGCTCTCTCTGATACTGTGCCTGCTGAGGCCTTGCACTCCTTCACACTTGACACAAGTGCTTCCCGCTCTTTCTTTCGCGACAGCACCACACTCACGCCGCTCAGTCGGCCAGTTGCAGTCTCCCTGGCGGACCCCTCTGGGGGCCCCGTACTTGCGCACTCCTCCACGGTCCTGCCGTGTCCGGCTGTCCCGTCTGACTCACTGTCGTGTCTCCACCTCCCCTCGTTCTCTACGAACTTGGTGAGTGGAGCTGCCCTCTAGGATGAGTGGGTTGACCAGTTCACTCTTGGACGTCAGCGTGTGACCCACTGTACGTGCTCCCGGACTGGTCGGCACCTGGCCACGTTCACCCGAGCACCTGGCTCGAGCCTGTATACACTGACTACTGTGTCCCCTCAGGTAGCATCTAGGTCTGCGTTTGTGTCAGGTCAGCTAGCGCCCCCCTGCTTGTGTTGCGCTTTGTCGCACCAGACCGTCCTCTGGCACCACCGTCTTGGTCACCCCTCGGTGCAGCGCCTTCGTGGCATGCACCGCCGTGTCCTTGTCTCTGGTCTTCCGGGGTTCTCCCTCCCCTCCCTCCCTCGCCTCCTCCTCCCTGTCTTCTTTGTGTCGAGGGGCGGCAGCGCGCCGCTCCTCACTCCTCCTCGTTTCCCCCGACAACTGCTCCCCTGCAATCCCTACACATGGACGTGTGGGGCTCAGCCCGCATCCGTGGACAGGACCGCGGGCGATACTTTTTGCTGGTTGTTGACGACTACACGCGTTACACCACGGTCTTCCCCTTGCGCACCAAGGGTGCGCTCCCTGATGTTTTGATCCCTTGGATCTGCGCTGCCCGTCTCCAGCTCCGCGAGCGGTTTGAGACGCACTTTCTCGTCCTGCGTCTGCACTCTAACAGACGTGGTGAGTTTGCCTCTGACTTCCTGCGGGACTTTTGTCGTGGTAGGGCATTCGCCAGACGTTCACGCTCCCGGCCTCACTGCAGCAGAATGGGATTGCTGAGTGCCGCATTGGATTTGTCATGGAGGTCGCTCGTACCTCCATGGTCCATGCGGCTGCCCCCCATTTTCTGTGGCCATTTGCAGTCCGTTACGCTGCGCATCAGCTCAACCTCAGGCCCCGTGTCTCCTTGCCGGAGACCTCGCACACACCGCGTTGGACAGGGAAGGTTGGCGATGCGTCAGTGTTTCGGGTCTGGGGTTCTCGTTCCTTTGTCCACAATACTACCGCGGACAAGCTATCCGCCCGTGCTATTCCTTGCGTCTTCCTTGGCTTTGTCCCTGCCACGCCTGGCTGGCAGTTTTACCACCCCACCTCGCGCCGTGTCCTGCCCTCTCAGGACGTCACGTTCAACGAGTCGGTTCCCTTTTACCGCCTCTCCCCCTACCGCACTGCCTCTCTCCCCTCCCCGCCTCTCTTCCTTGCACCAGGTCCTCCTCCGGTAGACCCCCTCCCCCCTCAGGGTCCTGCTCCCTCAGGTGTGTCCCAGGTAGACGCTGTCGAGCCTGTCGAGGTAGTGGTTGACTCTGGTGCTGCTACTGGGGGTGGTGCTGAGCCTTGGGGTGCGGAGCATGGGGGTGTTGAGCCTGGGGTTGTTGAGTCTGAGGGTGCGGAGCCTGGGGGTGCTGAGCATGGGGGTGCCGAGCTTGGAGGTGCTGAGCCTACGGTTGCTGAGACTGGGGGTGCTGAGTCTGCTGGAGTTCCTGCAGGTGCCTCGTCTCGGCGGGAGCCTCTCTCTTCACCGCAGCTGCGTGAGTGGTTTGCTCGCCCCCGGAGACGCCAGCGAGGTGCTGCTGGTGCAGGTGCTGCTGGAGCTGGAGCTGCTGGAGGTACTGCTGGTGCTGGTGCTGCTGGAGGTACTGGAGCTGCTGGAGCTGGAGGTGCTGCCCGAGCTGGAGCTACTGGAGGTACTGCTGGTGCTGGTGCTGCTGGAGGTGCTAGAGCCGCTGGTCCCGGAGGTGCTCGTACTGGGGCTGCTGGGGCTGGTGGTGCTGCCGGAGTTGGAGCTGGAGGCACTAGTGTTGTTGCTGCTGGAGGTGCTCATGGAGCTGGAGCTACTGGAGGTGCTGGAGCTGGTGGTGCTACGGGAGTTGGAGCTAGAGACCCTGGAGCTGGGGGTCCTGCTGCTGTCTCTGCTGGTTCAGGAGGTGCTGCGCGGTCGCGGCCGTACTTCGTTCCACTTCAGCAGATTCTTGACCTCCCACCTTCTATTGGTCCCACTCTTCCCTTACTGTGTCCTCAGCCTGCCCCATCGCAGTCACAGCTACAGCAGGCCTCTCCACTGCCTGGTCCTCCTCCTTACTCTGGGCCGACTAGAGGTCTGACGGAGCGTCATAAGCCTGAGTCTCATCCTGCGTCGCCTGCGTTTTTTCTTGCGTCGCCTGTTCGCGCTGTTCGCACTGGTAGTCATGTCCCGCGTCCGCGTCCTCCTGCTGTCCCAGGGACGCACCAGATGGCGCTTCGTCCTTCCACTGCTCCTCTGTGTGTCCCTCTGCCGTCTCCTCCTCCGTCCTCTCTTGCTGACGGTCCGGACCCGGAGTCTGACTCCGTTCGTGCTGCTAGTTCTACTGTTACGCGTCTCCTGGCCACTGTTGTCACTGACCCGTCGTTTGAGTCCACTGCTGCGTCTGCCCTAGTTGCTGGGCTTGTTGAATTTGCTGCCGCATGTCGTCTAGACTACGCCGCTAGCCTTGTTGCCGAGTCTGAACCTGAGTGTGTCTGTCCTCCGTCCGTCGGGGGTGAGTGTGCTCTTGGCACGAACGTCCATGAGGACAGGCATGAGGAGTTTACCTCATCTCGTGTCCATGCTTATTGCACCTGAGGGAGACCCAGATGCACCAGACATCCCCACCCCGCGCTCTTACGCAGAGGCGATAGATGATCCCTACTCCTCTCAATGGCAGACAGCCATGGATGCAGAGATGGCTTCCAGGAAGTCCACAGGCACCTACGTCGACGAGGTTCCCCTGCCTGGGGCGAACATCGTCAGTGGCATGTGGATCTTCAGGGTGAAGCGACCGCCGGGTTCTCCGCCTGTCTGGCGCGTTACGTTGCACGAGGCTTCAGACCTTCTCCCCCACCCCAAAGATGACCACTCTTCGGGTTCTGCTGCACGCAGCTGCTCAGCGTGACTACGAGCTGCACTCTCTTGACTTCAGCACTGCTTTCCTACAGGGCAGCCTGCACGAGGCCCACCTGGCTTCACTGGGTCGTTTCCTACTGGTACCCAGTGGAGCCTCCGGCGGCCAGTCTACAGTCTCTGCCAGGTGCCCCGTGAGTGGCACGACACACTGAGGACGACCCTTGCAGCTCTTGGCTTTGCTCCTTCCACTGCTGACCCGTTGCTGTTTCTACGCACCGACACCTCTCTGCCGCCGTTCTACGTCCTCGTGTACGTCAACAACTTGGGCTTTGCTACTTCTGACACTGAGGGACTCGCTCACGTGAAGTCGGAGCTGCAGAAGAGACACACTTGCACAGACCTGGGTGATCTGCGCAGCTATCTTGGCTTGCGGATCACCCGGGACAGAGCACAGCACACCATTACTTCGACTCAGTCACACATGGTGCAGCAGGTCCTTCAGCGCTCGCCATAGCCTACTCCTCTGCCCGTTCGTCATTCGCTCTCAGCTCTGCCTTCGGATGACTCCGTAGAGTCGAGTGGCCAGTATCCAGAGCTTGTAGGCTGGCTCATGTACCTCATGACCTGCACTCGACCTGACCTGGCATACCCTCTTAGCATCCTGGCACGCTATGTTGCTCCTGGGAGACACAGGAAGGAGCACATGGATGCCGCTGAGAGGGTGTTGCGCTACTTGTGTAGTACGTCAGGCATGGGGCTCATTCTTGGAGGACGGGCTCGAGTTGTCCTCACTGGTCACGCAGACGCTTCCTGGGCTGACGACTTGGCTACGCAACGGTCGTCACAGGGTTACACTTTCAGCCTTGGCTCCGGCTCTGTTTCGTGGCGGTCTACCCGATCGTCTTCTGTTCTTAGCTGCAGATGTGAGGCTGAGATCTACGCAGGGGCCATGGCTGCACACGAGTTACGCTGGCTCACCTACCAGCTGACCGACCTGGGAGAGTCGCCTCGTTCTCCTTCAGTGCTGTACGTAGACAACAAGGCCATGATTGCCTTGTGTCAGGAGCAGAGACTGGAGCACAGAACGAAGCACATCGCTCTGCGCTACTTCCTTGCTCGAGAGCTGCAGCAGCGTGGTCAGCTTCGTCTTGCTTACGTGGCCAGTCGGGCAAACACTGCTGATGTTTTCACCAAGGCACTTCAGCCTTGTGATCATCAGCGTTTCTGTACTGTTTTAGGCCTTGTGCCCACTGGGCCTCACTTGCTTACTTCTTGACTTTGCTTGTACTGTGATCTTTATACATATACCTGCATGCTTACTCTTTCTAGGTTGTGATCAGTGTATTGTTTGTTTGCCTTTATATAACTCTGCATGTGAACTAGCCTTGTGGCCAATTGCTTGTGCTCAGAATGCGTGGTGACTTCGTGATCCACCTTGAGCTTGCTTTGCTTCTCTTGACTGGTCTTGTGACCTCTTGTTCTCCCCCGCTTTGCCTATGGGGGTGTGTCAAACTTATATGCTATAGTCTGTGTAGGCTGTAGTGGGGTAGTTCATATGGGGTACAACACTTTAGGGTTTCCTAGTTGTACTCCTGATGCTGCTCAATACAATCATTCCTCGTTTTACTTGCATAATTGTAAGCGCATGGGTGTAACATAGGCTTGGGGGTATATCCGGGGTATAACAATATGCTAAATCTCTAGAAAAATGGGGGAGGGGGCTCTTAACAAAGGAGAAAAAAATATACCACCCGTGTCTTCTCATATGGCATATATTTTCAAAGGTGTTTTGAACATAATGATTAATACTAAAGTTGGGGGGATGATTTTGGTGAGCACCAAGCCAACGAAACATTCTTCGCTTGGGATGTTGCGATAACCCCTTGACTAGTCACAACTCATTCTCTAATAACAGTAAATTTGCCCCCTCACACACCCATTTCACCCCCCCCTGATGCAGCAAATTCGCCCCTGATGCAGCAAATTCGCCATATGACACAGCAAATTTGCTCCCTGACGCAACACAATCTCCCCTTGACGCAGCAAATTCATCCCTCGATTGTCCTATTTCGCGTGGTAACATGTTTCCTGTTGAAATTGAATATTTCAAAATCTACTTGGAAACTCCCCTATAGGAGAAGGGGTATATTTTATTGTTCACCCTTCAAAAGAGGGGTATAAGAATTCCGAGGCTTTGTAAAGTACCCCCCCCCGTATTAGCTACCCGGGGGTCTTTTATTCGAGACATTACGATATTTTATTGATATAAATCTTGTCATTTACATTCACCATGATCAAGGTTTTCACTATTACAAAATACTTCTGCTA